CACGCCCGGGCCTCCCGCCAGCGCCGCCGCAGAGCTCGGAAGTCATTATGCTCCCACAGGAAGTAAACTGAGTCATCAGGCACCCCAGCACGGCTCTGTGCGGCTCGCCCCCGCCGGCAAGGGGGAGGGTAATCGGGACGGCGAAGCTCGGAGCCGTCAGGCAGGAGGAGGTGAAGCCTCCGGCCACAGGGGGCGCTGGAGAGCGCGGGCTGGAGGGCCGGCCCGAGTTGACTCACTGACCTGGGTACCCTTCCCCGTCCCAGGGCTGCCTTCCGACCCAGGGCGTGGGACCCGCAGAGCACTGGCCGGAGAGCTCGGGAGCAGCGGGAGTGGCGAGGGTTCTCTCCTGGCCACGGGCTGGGGGCAACACGCACAGGGTCTCTAGCACCAAAGGTGTTCTTCTGATTCCTCTGCACGTGGGTGGCCGCAGAGAAGAGGGGTGCCCCTCCTGGAGGCTTTGCACCTTGGCCAGGGCGAGAGGGGGCTTGTCTGTATAATCAGGACGGGGGGAGCCCCCGAGCACCCGCCGGCCCTGCCGGGTTCTTCTGCACACGCGGCCTGCGCCCTGAGCAGCTCGGAGCCCCTGGGCTTAGGGCAGGGATTCGTGGGGGGGGGGGTGCTCCGCTGAGAGTGTTTTCATTCGGGCTGGTGTTCAGAAGAGATTAGAGGGGTAAAACGTTCCTTGTTCAAAGACCATTCTCGGGCCAGCACGTCGCAGACTCTGTCCGGACCTGTGTGGGACTTCCCCTTGGCCTCGATGAGGATCCTCCAAAGGGGCAGGGGGGCCCCCCTGACCGCACGGGTGTCCGTGCCGGGGAGCCCAGGGGGGCTGCCGGTGGCCGTGTGGAACTCGGACGCGCCTCTGCTCTCCAGCGCCATCCCTGACACGTCCGTCCGCCTCCCAGCCGCTTCCGGGCGTGGGGGGCCTGCCGCGGGGGGTGCATCACGTCTGGGCTGTCCCTGCGTCCATCCGTGGCAGAGCCCCAGTTTCCAAAGTCGGGCCCTGGGGGCGGCGGGGGCCCTTTCCACTTCCCTCCGACCCAGCCCCCAGGGCCTCCGTGAAGCGGCTCTCCGTAGACAGGACAGGGGGAAGGCTACTTCCCCTTCCACGGCGGGGCCCACGGGGACTCTCTGGGTCAGGCCAAACCAAGCCTCGCCCGCTCGCCGTGGGAGAGTCAGTCCCCAGAGACTCAGTTACCGAGCTGGATCTGATCTTCTGGACGTGGGGTAGCTGTGATCTTTAGTAGCCAGAGCAATGACCGCCGCAGCCCCCCCAGAGCACCTCACTCACACACAGCCCTCCAGTGTCACGCTTCTGAGGAGTGTCTGCGGGGCCCAGTGTGTCCGCAGGCCCTGGAAGCGCAGCCCTCTCAGGGCGGACGGACGGGGCGCCCGGGGTGTCGGAATGAAGGGATTGTCCCCCGAAGGCAAATGCCCCCTCGGGAGAGGGAGAGCGGAGGTGGCTGCTCCTCCCGGCTGGAGGCTGTGGAGATGACCTTGGGGAGAACAGGCCCGGCTCTCTCCGCCGCTGGCCTCAGAGGCCCTTACTTGCAGTGTTTCTCGTGCGTGGGTTTAAGCTCCCAGAGATCTGGCGTTCCCTCTGAAGTAATTAAACATTCCTCCCTGCACTTCCCTCCGTGATAAAATACCGCTCCCACTTAGATTCATTACAGTGGTTAAAATCTGAACTTCCGTGGGAAAGATGGCTGGAGTCCTTTGTATTTTTTTTCTCGTTTATGACCTGGAGCTGCACTTTTCTTCAGCTGGTTTTACTTTCCTCTGTGGGGGGAAAAAGCCGTTACTACAATGGTTTTGTTTCTGTTTCTATTATTCAACCTTTCAGAGTTATTCTCTCTGGCCCCCCCCCCCCCCCTTAACTCTTGAAGGTCCACTCTGACCCTGAAGGCAACTGGTGCAAAGTTGGTGGTGAGCTGTCGCCTCACTGAAACTTCACTTCTGGGAGCTCGTCGCTTCTTTTTGCTGACGCAGTAGACATGCCGATAACCTTGCAGCACTCGTGTGTTAGGTTTCTAATTCAGTGTTGGTAGGAGAAGCGGTTCTCTGCATCCTCCTCACTGTTCGCCCGCTCGCCTGCTTGCCCCGGACCTCAGGCACGGACGGATGCGCTCTGGACTTTGCTCGCGATGGAACAGCTCGCTGAGGCCCCAGCGTCGGACCCCGGGCTGGGGAGGGGCCGCCCACCCAGAGACCCAGGCTCCGGTGCACGTTATTTGTCTTTCTGAAGCTCGGTTTCCTCGTCTGTGAAGTGAGACATCAGGTCAGTTCCGTGCACAGTAAGAGAGCTTCACGCACGTGGTCACAGGATCGACAGCCGTCAGACCAGCGGTGACTGACCCGCTGCTGCCTGCCTTTCACGGTGCCGGGTACCAGCTGGGGCCCCGGGGGGCAGGGGTGGCCGAGTAGCACGTGGATGCTTCTGACAGACGGAGAATGCAGTGAGAGAAGTAAATTCAAGAGATGCTACAGAAGCATGGTTACAGAACCACGAGTTTTTTTCAGCTCTTCAAAAATTATGCTCAGTGAGATGAGCCAGGCAGTGAAAGACAAATACCGTATGATCTCACCTAGAAGTGGAACCTGATCAACAAAACAAACAAGAAAGCAGCATAGAACCAGAGACGTGGAAATCAAGAACAAACTGACAGTGACCAGAGGGTGGGGAGGGGGGATAGTGGGGAACGAGGTGGGAGGGGCACGCGGAGGGACAAGTGGCAAGGACCCACGGACATGGGCAACGGGGGGGAGGGGCCGGGCAAGGGAGAGTAATGGGGCGGGGAATGGGGACAGCTGTAATTGAACAATAAAAAAATTTTTTTTTATGTTTTAAAAATCAAGTGAAATGTCTACATTTGCTCTGAGGTTGAGCTGCCTAACTAAAATACCTCATTTCTTTCTGGTAGCTGGAAAAATGTCCACCGAGTGTGGCCAGATCGGTGCCGCAATAGGACGCCGACGCCCAGCCTGGGCCGGTGCCCGGGGCCACGGCCAGCGGTTCTGGCACCGGCGGTGAGCCGCGTGCAGCCAGCCCTGAAATCGCCGTCCCAGTTGGCGCTGTGGCTCCCAGATGGGTGTTGTCACCAACGTGCATCATCTGGAGACTTTCTGTTTCCACTCTTCGTTCTCGCTCACTCGACGCTGAGCCTTTAAAACTATTACTTCCAGTTTTCGTGGCTCTCTCTCAGCACCCACGCCCTGGGGCAGAGAGTCCTGGTCGCCCTGCCCTTGCTGCAGCCCCACGCTTGATTTAAAACGAGAAAACGCCGTGCCACACAGAGCCGTCTGTGTCGCAGGCCCAGGTTTCCAAACACGAGGCCCGTGAACTGAGAGGCAGGCAAGACCCGGTGTTTCCGGTTCCCCAACGAGGCTCGTCCCCCATGGGCCTGCCGCGCCCGGGGCGCGGCGCACAGAGGACACGCGGTGGAAGTTCAGCCGGAAGCTGGCCCACCGACCCACCGCACTGCAGTGACCGAGTCTGCCTGCCGGTGTCCGTGCCAGAGGCCAGGCCATGACCGAGGGCAGCGCCAGGCACACGTGTGTGCACGGAGCCCGGGGCTGGCTGGCCGTCCCCGTCACTGTTCCGAAGGCCTGTTTGTGGATTAGAACCTCCGCAGAGGCACCCGCGGGGGCTGCCGGCCCCTGTGAGCGGTGCTTGTGGCTTTCCTTGTGTCTTCCGATGTTAACAAGTGTCTTGCTTTCTTCTGTCTTTCCATTTCTGCTGTGTCCATGTGTGTAGATTTTTTTTTCTTTTTTTCAAGAACTGGGGATCTCTTGCAGGGCCGAAACAGCCAGCAGTGGCCCCAAGTGGCCGTTTCCAAGGCCTGGCCGCGCGCAGTCAGGTCCCGATTCACGGTTCCCTCTGCCGTGGCCGTGAAGCCACGGATACTACAGCCCAAGGCAGAATTCCCTCCCCTCCTCCCCCTCCTATGCCTTCCTCTCTGTCCTGCTCCTCCTCCTCCTCATTGAATGAAAGAGTGGGAATGCTCACGGAGCAGTGTGGTGCGAAGAAGCGCTGGGAACGGCTAGGTATGTGCAGACGGATCTCGACGTCGTTTCGCCACAAAATGAACAGGGAAAAAAATTAGGTTTGTATACCGCCCTCCGAAAAAATGCATCACTCAGTGTGGTTTTAATAGTCTTCATGCTTTCCTGTCCACAGGGAGTGTTAATTGCCATTACCAGCATAAGAATGTTTTTATTTATTAAACGCGGCGACTCAAGAACGAGGCGTGTGGGTTGGTGCCTCTTCACTGGCCGGTGCGGCGAACTAGGAGAGAAACAGAAAGGTCTCTGCTGGTTAGGGTGCGCGGTGCTGCACTGAACGAACACAGACACTAAGCACTTAGAGCGCATGGAGGCAAGGTCGTTTCCGAGCCTCCGACCGGAACCTTGCATCAGCCAAGGTCTCCTGTATCAGACTCGGTCTCCTGGTTGCCAGGCTCCCCGGGGCGGGGCCCTGGGGGCCGGTGAGGCCTGGTCTTGGCTCACTTTTCCTCTCGGAGTGAAAGCGGTCCTCTCCCGCCCACGCGAAGACCACAGCTCTCCTGCAAGGGCTCCCACGAACAGAACTCGGGTGGGTGGAATCTTTCCCAAGGAGTGGAATATCCCACCACTTCCTACCTTGGTGTATGAGAACGACCTTTTGTCTCGTGTTTTCTTGGGAGAGAGAACGCTTTATCCCAAAAAGACACACATGGACACAACCGGGAGGGGAGGGGGCGCGTGGAGAGGAGCCCAGCAAACCCGCCTCTTGGCTAGCCTGCGGACCTCGCAGTCGTCCAAAGCGCCGTCGGAGAGGAGGAGAGCTGGGAGGCGTGCAGCGTGGGTGGCGGGCCGCTGTTTCCCCGCTGCCCGGGTCTCTGCGTCCGCAGCGGGGGTGCCCGAGGGCGGCCGCGTCCGCGCCCTTCCAGCGTCGCCGTGCGCGTCCGCGGGGCTGTGCTGCGGCCCGCAGTGACTGACGTGCGCCTGTGTTCTCTCCGCAGAGTGTCGCGTCGTGAAGTCCACTTCTTACACCAAAATAGCTTCGTCGTCCCGCAGGGGCGCCGCCAAGAGCCCGGGGCCGTCCCGGCGCAGCAAGTCGCCGGCGTCCACCAGCTCAGGTAAGGCCGCCGCTGGGGCGGCTGGGAGGGACGCGCCGCGCGGAGGACCCAGGGCTGGCGGAGGGTCGGGACAGCGTCCGCGCGGGGCTGGAACTTTGCAACGCGGCAGCGTGGCCCCAGGGCGGACACATTGGCCGTAGGGCAAACCATTGCGCTCAGAAATCTCACTTCATGGTGACCCGGGACACCCAGATTCGCGCAGTATTAATGTCTAGTGCAGAAACTACTGGTTCAGGCTAAGGACCCCCTCCCCCAACCGGGGGTCTCGGCTAAAGCCCGTCTGTAGCATGTGAGCCCAGTTTAGGGGCAGTCCCCAGCGGGGATATTTGCTGCCTCTCTGCTGAGGGCTGGTCCCCGCGAGGCTGCGGCGCTGGGGGCAGTGAGAACAGCGAGCCCTGGGCAGGGACAGCCGCAGGGGCCTGGCCTGCGTCCTGTCTCCGTCCGGGGCTCCAGTGCCGGTGTCCAGGGGACATGTGTGCACAAGATGACCGCCTCGGGCCCGCCTTGTCCCTCTGTGGTCTTGACGTGGACGTGAGTGAGTCAGGTCGCTTTGTCCTTGTCTTTGTGGGGGTTTTGGGCTGGGGTGTAAGGTCCATTTCACTGTTAATTGTTTCCTGAATGACCTCACTGTGCAGTGAGTCCTTAAATGATGCTTATTCACATCTGGGCGATGGTCCCCTGATTCCAGGAGGACGGTGAGGCTCTCAGGAACAAGGACCTTGAGGGTGTGTGCAGAGGCTGCTGGGTCTGAATAGCATGGGGGCCTGGAGGGATGGGGCAAGGGATGGGGACATTCTCCTGGGGGGAGGGGAGGCCACCAGGCCGGCCTCTGGCTCCAGCCTGCACGGTCAGCACTGCGAGGACTGTCCCCTGTGCTTCCCCACAGCGAGTGACACCGAGACCTCCACGAGGAGCCCCAAGGGTGGAGGTTTTAGCGGGCTGGGCCCCAGAACCCGCCGCCCACCCCGGATCTCTCGGGGTGGCCTTCTCTTCCGGGCCGCACCGAGCCCCTGGGCGGTCCCCAAAGACCACCTTCTCCTTGGACGCTGGCTCTAAGGGTGGCAACGGTGGCCTCCCGCGGCCCCCTTCCCGCAGCCCGGCCTACGTAGGTCGCCACCAGCCCGGGACTAAGTCTCGGGGCACTCCTGGCGCTTGCGGCGCGGCGCGGCGCCCCTCCCGGTTTGAGTCCGGGCTGAGCGCTCGCCCCGTAAGGGAACAGGCACGGCGCCCGTGGGCTGAGCTCCGAAGTGAGACTCTGCTGAGCGGCAGGGGGATGCGACTCTCCGGGCACGAGTGTCACGTAGTAACTCGGTCGGGATGGCCCTCTGATCGCCCCCTTCGCCTCCTGCTGACCGAGGCCAGAAAGCCGTGCTTTAGCGAGTGTTCCAGACGATTCCGACCAGGTAGTCCATGGCCTGCAAGGTCCCTCCAGAAGGTGTCCAGGCACGTACTGTGAAAAGTGGGGGCGTTTACTGAGGAAGAGACAAGATACAGGAAACTCTGTACACGGGACAGTGACACCTCAGTCCCCTTCAAAGCAGGCACCTCGGGACCTCACACGGTTCTCCCAGTCGCCATCAGCTGCCCCGTCATGTTTTCCTGAATCTCATTGACGGTCTGAAGTCTCTTTCCTTTCAAAGGGGATTTTAGTTTTGAGAGAAGCCAGAAGTCACAAGGCACCAAATCTGGGCTGTAGTGGGGCTAAGTCACCTGGGTGTTTGATATTTTGCCAAAAACCCCTGCAAGAGATGTGATGCGTGAGCGGGCGCATTGTCGTGGTGAACCTGCCGGTCACCAGCCGCCCACGGCTGCGGCGTGTTCTCTGACCAGCTGACAGGTGGAAACAGGGCTCTGTGGAGGATGTTCGGCCTTGGTCAGCGAACAGCCCTCACTTTCTCCGAGCACACCTGGGCGGCAGGTGAACTCCCGCGGGGCAGCAAGAGAGAAGGGGGTCGGGAGCTCAGGTGGCCGTTGCCGGGGAATCCTGGCTGTTTTGCGCAGTCACAGCGGGGTGTGAAGGGGCCGGAAGGCCCGTATCAGCAGAGACATCATCGATGCTTCTGAAAGTCGTCAGTAGTGATGTAGCTCCTACCAAACCAGCTCGGGCACTGACACGTTTTCCCTAGTCTTCCCGCTCGCCTTTGTCTCGGTCTATTCCATGGGTTTTAACTAGCAGGTGCAGTGGGTGAGGGGGCAACACCTGGTGGTGAGCGGCTAGCCACACCCTGTCTCTTCCGGTACGGAGGATTCAAGAGACTCAGTGTGCGCTCTGGCTGTTCGGTTTTTGTCATTGCTTTTAATAAGATGTTTTAAAGAGCTATAGGCAGTTAGAGGCTGCTGCATTGGGTGGAAATCTTCTTTCTTTCTGTCCCTGCCAATCAAGGGAGGGAGGCACCCGGTCAGGGTACTGTTTGCTGTGCCCAGTCAGGGAATGGCACCCGGAGACCCGGGGCAGTTCCCGTCCCCGCAGAGGTGTCCACGTGGCTGCAGGAACAGACCCCCCCCCCCAGCCTGTCTGAGCACAGCAGCCAGTGTTGAACGGGGGGACACAGGAGGGGAGCAGGGGGAGAGAAGTTTTGCAACTCAAAAATTGCCTTGTAAAGAGTAAAGAGCCTGTTTTACTCCAAAAAAGAATCTAAAATTTGAGTTAAAATAGAATCACGAATCTAATGTTAAAAAATTTTAAAAATGAATACAGAAAATTATTTCACTTTAAAATGAACTGGTAACACAGTCACTCTTTGGCATCTCTAAGATTACATAAGTCTCATAAATATAGTCAATTTAATTATAATCTTATAAATATAGATGAATGTATCATTTACCAAAAGCAATTTTGGAAACGCAGGAAAAAAGCAGATAGGCACATGTATTAGATGCATTTGCATTTGTGACTGCCAGCATGTGGGACTACTGCTTTTCGGAAGTTTGAAACGGGTAAGTCACGCTACGTAAAAGTCAAAAGATCGCTTCCAACAAGCATTTCTGTTTCCTACTGTTCTCCTGAAGCCCTTTCCTGCTCTTTGCTGGAGTTGAACTTGGTTAACCTGGTTGGCTTGACCGGCACTCCCCTGGGGCGCCCCGCCAGGGGATTCTTTCCGTGAAGGGATGGCCCCAGTCAGCCTGCTCTGGAAGAAGTAGCACCTCATTGAAGGCATCCCCGCTGCCAGGTCAGAGCTCCCCCGGTGGCCCTGACCACATCTGCCTCACGCGACTCCTCGTGCACATGGAATGTGCAGCCTCTTGCGTTTTGATCTGGAAGACACGCCCTACAACCCTGCCCTGGTGCGCACACCGTGCGACGTCTGTCTCTTGGTTCCGACTTGCTACCCAGCCTTACCACCTTCCTCTACAACAACTGGGTGGCTCTACGGCAATTCAGAGAGGGTCCCACAACAGTTCAGAGCAGCAGCCCCAGTCCCAAGACATGGGTTCTGGGGTGACCCCAAGACCGCTTCCTTTCCGGGGGCCCACGCCCAGGGTTGAGGAGGTGCGCCGTTGTTCCTGTGCCTTTCCTGGGCTGGTGTGGCTGCTGGAAGTCCCGGGGAGGAGGGGCCCTGCCGTGGCCCCGTCCACCGAGCCAGCGAGGACTCCTCTCCGTGCTCAGTGTGGCTCTTAGACCCAGTGCAGAGGAGCAGTGGGCTCTCTCTGTTTGGGTTGCATCGACATTTTTTTGAAAATAGCCTGTCGGGTGTTTTCCAGAAGTCGTAAACACTGGAACGTGAGTCGTGTTCCTCTCACACCCGTTACATTCTTAGGGGCAGACGTTATCCCGAATCCCCGTCACCACCACGAACCTGACTTTTTAAGGACAAAGAGTCTTCGTTTTCCCTCCCAAAATGCTGACTTAGAGTTTGCAGTCATTTCTGCTTCCGCTTTTCAACGTCCACCTCCAGCGTCGTCCTCCCACGCGATGTGCAGAGTGAGGCGTAGTGGAACGTTGAGGTGTGCCCGGTGCTCAGGCTGTGCTGTGACTCGTGACAGCGTGACCTTACATCTGCCTGACGCCTCAGCGCTTCTGTGGGCCTTTATCTTCGATCTTTTTTGATTTCCCCAACAATCTCCCAACAGCATTACCGTGTGTTACAAGATCACGCGCCTCATTTTTAGAGATGGGGAAGCTGAGGCGGGCCCAGGGGACGGGTTGGCCCAGAGTCACGGAGTCCACGGGGGCAGCTCAGGGCTGGCACCTCCAGCTCGCGGGGCTCCGGGCCAACAGTCCTGACCGTGTCTTCGCCTCTGCGCGTTGTGGTTCTGACCCCCAGGAAAGAGCTGGCGCTGCGCCTGGCTGAAGGTCGAAGTTTACAGCATCGCAGCAGTCTGCTGGGGAGGCCTGAGAGTGAGTGAGTGCCAGGCCCCAGCACCGATGGGGTGACAGGGTTCACCCACTGCCTGACGCGCGTCAGCGGCGGGCAGAACGTTCCCTCTGTAAGTCCGTCTTAGGGTGCAAATGAGACCCTTCTATAAATCTTCTCCTGGTCCCGGCCCCATTCCTCCTCTGGGGACGGGAGGAGGTTAGAGGCGACTCGTTAACGCGAGGAGTTCGTGGACACACTCAGGAGCGCCAGGTGCGGGTCGGCCAGCGTCGGGCTTTTGCTGGGCGCCAACCGTGCGCAGGTGCAGGGGACAGGCTGGGCCTCCCGGAGGCGCACAGGGCGAGCCCCTGAGTGGTTGACAGGTCACAGCGCTGCTCACACACCTGTCGCATGGTCGTTCGTCTCCGCGACAGCGGAGCCCAGAGCAGGCCGCTGGAGCTGGAAGGAAGAGAAACCAGGAGCCTGAATCTCTCACACACACACACACACACACACACACACACACACACCAGCGAGCCCCCAGACGGCCGTGCGCGGGGGCGGGGAACGTGGCGTCACAGGGAGGGACGGGGTCTTAGCTGCTTCTTGGGAGAAACAAGACCATATAAGAACGCCGTGAAGCGTGTTTCATGTGGGTCGGATCTTTATTCGAGTGCGTTTTCTCTTGGGAACACAGATGTCCCACAACATGTATAATTCAAAAGTGGAATTCTTTCACATTTTTTAAAGAGTCTGTACAAGCAACTTATAACACAGTGTCTCCAAAATAAGAGTACAATATGCACCAATTTGCTTTAAATAAGAACATGTAAAGTTTGATTTGCTTTGTATTTTTTAATGGTACAAACACAGGAAAACCGTGTTTATCTATCTTGAATTTTCATTGCTGCGGTCCTCCTTAGAGCGCACAGATCTCAGAATTTCGACCGCTTCTTGGATCCCATAGCAGAACATTGTGGGGGCGGGGCGGGGGGTTGTTTGTTTGTTTTGGAGTTTTTATTCCCACCGAGATGGCTGGCCAACTGCTTGTCGGAGAAGGACGCCTTCCGCTGAGAACCGCTCTCCCCGGAAGCCGTGGTAGGCCCCGCCGAGCCCCACGGGCGCCTCCCACCCGGTGACTCCAGCCTGAGCCCGCGGACTTCCTTGCTGTCTGGCGCCCACGGTCTCAGGCACACTCACGCCGCCGGCAACAGCCGCTCGTGCGTTCACCGTGCGCAGAGAACCGCCCGTGGCTGGGGACACCGGGAGCTGGAGGCGCCTCCACGTACGACCTTCTCCCACGGCCGCCCCGTCCTCCCCCGGCTGAAAACACACGCGTGTGTGTGTGTGTGAGACTCTGGAAATCCTGAAGTCCTTTTACGGACCACCTTCGAACGTTACTTTTTTACGCAAAAATATTTTAGGCAACATATGCAGATAACACAAGAATCCAAGCTGGGGAAGCAAGGAGAACTGTAATGCGCTCAGTAGGGCGCTGTGTCCGCTTTTTCATTCCCATCAAGCGCCTCCAGAGGCAGATTGCCGGCTGGTGACTTCCAGCTCTGCCCTTTCCTTGCGTAGAGAGGTTGCAGCCTCACCTGTTCTCTGGAGGGTTTTTTCTGCTTTGGGGTTTCAAGGAAACTGCAGAAAACAAAATGCATCAAGAAAGTCGAGAGGGCCGAGCATTCCTGCCTTGGGTTTTTAGCGTTTTTTTTTAAAGCCCAGCCCTCCTTCCGTTCCCTCTCCCTGCACTCCCTGCACTCCGCGACTCCCCCCAGTGCCCGCCCCCGCAGGTGAGTGTCTCCAAAGATGCTCTGCAAAGCCTGGGCCAGCCTCCTGGCCCACCGTCTGCAGGGCGCACTGTAAACTCTTTCCTGTTTGTGCCTCAGGCGAGTCAGAGCAGTGCCGCCTGAGCGCCTGCCGTGTGCCGGGCATCCCTTGGCGCCCAAAGGCGCAGAGGCAGTGAAGCCACAGCTCCCGGTGTCCAGCTGGGAGACGGGGTAGGTAGCGTGTACAATAGAGAGTTAGCTGTGTGACGCCGCCCAGAGGAAGAGGGTTCGACCTCATCCACGGGGTCAGGGGGCTGCCAGGAGAAGAGGCCCCACCCCCGGGGATGCGCAGGGTCCCGAGGTGATCAGAAGGGCCGGGAGGACCTTGAGGACGCGGTGCGAGGTGGAAGGACAGTTAAGGAATGGTAGCCGGTCCGCAGGAACGGGAGGCAGGCGAGGAAAGGGCTGGAGGGGACGGGGCTCGCTGGGCTCTGGTCCCGTGGCATGGGGCCAGGGAGGCGTGGTTCTGGGTCTCGAGGTGAGATTTCGGGCTCCACCCCGAGCGGGCTGGCCCCGTCGCTTATCACTCTGTGCCTCAGTTTCCTCATCTGCAAAATGATGCTGCCTATGTCGCAGAGCCATTATGAGACTTACATGAGATATAAGCGAGACATGTATGTACATATGAACCTAAACACACGGTTTAAGTACATTAACTGCTCCACAGAAAATAAGCTCCTTTTAAAAATAATGAATTAATTTAGTTTTAGAGAGCGGGAAAGGGAGGGAGAAAGAGAGGGAGAGAAACATCAGTGTGTGGTTGCCTCCTGCACGCCCCCTGCTGGGGACCTGGCCTGTAACCCAGGCAAGTGCCCTGACTGGGAATCGAACCGGCCACCCTTTGGTTTGCAGGCTGGCATCCAAAGAACCACACCAACCAAGGTAAAAAAACAAGTTCTTCAGTAAAGTGAGACACACACAGAATGAGTACTTACTAAAAGCAAGCATGTTGTTATTTTGCTTTTTTAAGCACGGTATTTCTAAGGCCATTTTCCTTGGGATTCACTTTCTTTTTTATCTGCCCCCCGCCCCGTCCCACTGGCTTGATAAGGTTAGAGTCCCCAGATTCAGAAATGTCACTGCTGTGCTTGCTTCCCCCTCTGCTCCCTGTCTTCCTGACCTGGCGCTGCCTGCAGAGGTGACGAAAAGATACGGGGACGTGGGCAAAGACGACGTCGTCTTCATCAGACCTGTCCCTCGGTGGGTCCCTAGGCATCTCCTGCTTCTGGGTGTGGGGGCTGGGGTCTGTGCTCCCGCCCACAGCTCTGTGGTCCCCGCGTGTCCCTGAGCCCGGCCCGGCCCGGCCCGCAGAGAGGCGGCTGCCTGGGACGCCCAGGGCGCAGAGGTCTGAGCCCAAGCTCAGGACAGACAGGGGGAGCAGGCGAATGAAAGCATGCTCCGTGCTTCCTGCTTCCAGCTGGCACATGAAAAAAGAAAAAAAAAAGTTTTTTTGTCTGAATGACTAAATGCATTTCAAAGGCAAAGCAACAAAGGAGTGCAGCGTGGGCCATTGTTGAAAGGTCTTTGCAGAGGACGGAGCAAAGAGCTTCCTGCTCCCGTGGGCCCAAGGGCTCCGTGCCCCAACGGTGTCGGAAAACCGATCGGCACCGACCGTCCCTGGGCACCCAGTGTCGTCAGGGTGTCTGTGGCGCCTGCAGCCCCCAGGCTCGACGGGAGCGCCGGCACTTGGAGTTCCCGACGCCTCCAGCCCCCCCCCCCCACACACACACAGGCTCCAGGGTGTGTGATTCAGCGGGCAGTCCCGGCAGAGGGCTCGGCCTTGCGGGGCCAGCGCTGGGGGGAGGGGCCCCCCTCCCCCGGGGGCTCCCGCGTCGGCACGGGGCTTACGGGCGACACCTTTGATGGAGCCGGAGCCGGAGCCCGCGCCTCCCACGGCTGCCGGGACGACGTCAGCCTGACGCAGACGAGGCATCTGCTGCGGGGCCGGCCTCTCCTCCCGCCGCCGGCTCGGGGAGCAGCCTGAGCCGTCCCTGACTAATCCCCCCGCGCTCGCGCCCCACTCCCCCCGGTGCTCGGCTCAGAGCTGAGGAGGGACTCGCCTCTTGCTGTTGTCGGGCCCGACCCTGAGACTGTGTCCATGTTAGAGGTCATCGAGGGTAAGTTCGGTGCCTGCCTGCCCCCCCTCCGGGGAGGGAGCGGTTTGCACCCTCCAGAGTGTGTGTGTGTCTCCCTGCCAAGTCCGCCTCGCCGGCCGTGGGTGTGAAACGTGTTCACGTGTGGTGGTTCTTGCGGGTGAAATAATGGTGACCCGATGGGGCTGTGTTAAGTGATATCTCGAAGTGTTTGGCGATGTTACTCAGAGGAAATAACTGCCTACTTAGGTTCTGTGGCTTTGATTCAGGTTAGTGGTCACGTTGGATAAGAAAAGTCTTATCCATCAGTGGAATCCCAGTGATTTAAACCTGTGGGAAAGCAGCTTTTGTCTGTCGCCGGTGGGAGCCGCACCTCGGTCTGCCGGTTCCTTCGTCCTGGGCCAGTCAGGTCCTGCCCGAGTGGAGGGGGGGGGAGACGGGAGGGCGGAGGCGAAAGCAGGAACTTCTGGAAGTGAGTTGTCGCCTGTAAACGGACAGGGATTCGTTCAGCAAGTCTCTGGGCTTGCTGCTTGTCCGGGGTGCTGACGTGCCCTCCTGCCGGGGGGCACGGGGCGGCCGAACAGAGAATTGGGGCTGAGGACGGCCGGACACGCCCCAGGACCCCGACCGCAGCCCCCACTCTCTGCCGGCACAGCTGACGGCAGCGTTAGTCAGTTCATCAGGGAGGCTGTGCAAAGTGCGCTTTCAAGAACGTTTTAGGTGACCGCTGCTGCATGACACCCTGGGTCACCAACAAGTGAGTTTCCCAAGCAGGCTGCCCCTGAAGCCTTTTCTCGGGGCCACGGGTGCAGAGGTGTCTGGGGTCTTAGCCAGTGTCCCCCCTTCCCCCACCAGTCACTCACGTCTCAGAGAAGCAGGCTCGTCTGAAACCGCCTTATTAACGTGCCACTCTGCTGTCTGTGACCTTTGTCCTTCCAGTGAATGGAACCCCGGGTAGCCAGCTGTCCACGCCGCGCTCGGGCAAGTCGCCAAGTCCGTCGCCCACCAGCCCGGGGAGCCTGCGGAAGCAGAGGGTAAGCACGGGGGCGAGCTCCTCGCGTCAGCGCGGCCCGGGTGCCCGCGACATGCTGCGTCCTCTTAGTGCTCCTGTCTCTCGGGGGTGACCAGGCGACCGAGGGCGGGAGGTGACGGACGGCGGGTCCCTCGTCTCGGCCCCGGCTTCTCTTAGCTACACCTCAGGGCTCCTCCCGCCCTGTACACCGTCTGAGTCTCACCTCCGAGAGGAGGGGACCCTTGCTGCCACCCTGGGTAGCGCCCCGCCTACACTTTTTCCCCGGAATCACACAGACCTGCCCGCCCCGGTCTCTGTGAGCCTCCTGGGTTGTGACAAGCCCCCTGAGTCGTGGCCGTTGATCCTCAGCCTGTCTCAGGAGGGGGCAGGAAAGGGCAGTGGAGGGTGGGCCAGGCTCGGGGGGTCTGTCTCGGGCACAGAAGGTGCTCCAGGGCGGCCTGAGGGGCGGGGGCTGGGGCCGGAGGGGGCCCCAGGCCGTGGGTGCTTGCGAACGGAGCGCGCCCGGAGCCCCTGGCTCCTCACCACTGCCTGCGCTGCGTGATCAGCTTCTGGCGGGATGACGGGGAAGGTGACTGGCCCTGGAGGTCACAAGTCCGAGTTTCTGGAAGCAGCGTTAGGCAGCGTCAGGTCCCGTCTGCGGGGAAGGGGAGCGGGAGCGCAGCCGTGTTCGCCCCCTCGGCTGCCGGCACTGCCCGTCTTTCCCGAGGAAGCCAGAGAGAGGCTGAAGGGGGGGCGGGGGCGGGCAGCGGAGGAACCGGCAGGCCCCTGCCTCTGCGCCCCGAGCGGGCGGGTGGGGAGGAGTACAGGCCAGGAGGGGGCTCCAGGGTGGTGCCCGCTGCATGTCCGAGGAAGGAAGAAGGACCCCTTGGGGGCTTCGGACCTCAAAGACGAGACTCTTTTGAGTTTGGCTTCTTTTACCGAGTGAAAGGAGGAAAAAGGAGGAAGAAGGAGGAAAAGGGAAAAGGAGGCTTCTAAGGTCCAGGTGTTCAGACGGCAACCCAGACGGACACCCCCCCCACCCCGTTCAAGCCTCCTCCGGGGGCCGTGCGCACAGCGCCACCGGGGGTGGGGGCGGCGGAGCCCGGCTCACCCAGGTTGGGGGCGTCTGCCTTTGCTCCCGGCACCGGGCTCGGCCGGTCTGGGTGATTGGGTGGGGCCCAGGTGCGGCAGCAGCTCGCCCGCGCCGGCGGCCGCGTCCCCTCCGAGGAGTGTCCCCCCCTTGTGCCTCAGTGGGAAGCGGGGAAGGGCGCTGGAGGGGCGCTTCCCAGAGGGGAAGCCGGGGACTCCGCGTCCGTTCCCTCTCGGTGTCTGCAGGGCGGGGCTCTCCCCGGCCACGGTCCCACCTGGCATTTTGAAGGACAGGCGTCACTGGCAAACTGCTCAGGGAAGACTCGGCCAGATCAGTGCAGTCTCCTGAGTAAATGTCTGTGCCCCAGTGGAGGAGGGGGTGGTGGGGCGGTGCTTGTTTGGTGACCGTTGCCCGGCTGGGGCCCCTTCTGTGGGGACAGCCACGCGACGTGGTCCCGGAAAGGCCCCCTCCCGTGGGACATCCTCTCTTTTGAAGTGTGGGCTCTGGAGGTGGCACCTGGCGGGGAAATTCCTCTTCATCCTTTGAGCTCGCGGGCTCAGATTCGGGGTTCAGCTCCCGCTCCGCTGCGGAGATGAAAGCCGAGGGGTGGAGAGTCCCTGCCCCCGAGCGCTGGCTGTGTAGAGCTCTCTCTCGGGCACGTAGAGCGCTTCGCTCCACCGTCCCCTTTGTCTGTGGGACGAGGCCAGAGTTCCCTCCCGGCCCACTGCGCGCTGCGCTTCGCTGTTATTTTGTGCAACTGAGGCAGAAAGCTGCCCTGCAGCGGCTGGCAGCTGTGCGGGCGGCAGCTCCCATGATGCACATTGTCAGCTCCGCTCCCCAGGATGGTGGTCCCAGACATTCCTCCTTTTGTCAGTTAAAGCCACAGTGCACGCGCCCTACCTGAGAGGGGAAAACAGTCCCATCTGTCCTAGAGAAAGAAAGGGTTTGTCATCGTCTGAAAACGTTTATTAAGCACACGTGTGAGCAGACCGCCGGATGGCTGCGAGATGGCTCGGCGCCGGGCGCCGGAACGCAGGCCCCAACGAATGGACAGTCATCCTCCGCTGGTGTCCCGGGTCCGGGGATGGGTGCGCCCCGGCTGCTCGCCCAGCAGCCACTTCCATCTCGGCGTGGAGTAGGCCGCATCACGGCCCCTCCTCGTGCGGGCGGACGGACCCCTCTCCCCCGGAAACCGATCCCGGTTCACGTTTGGCTGAGGTTCTTCTCACGTGGTTGGCTGGGTGCCTGCGCAGGAAACCCCGAAATAAGAGAGAGATGGCAAGTGCTAAAAGAAGACATTTCAATGAATAAATTAACTCTTTTTATTGCAAACTGGAAAAACAGTAGCTACTTCTATTTTTCCCTCTCTGTTGCCTAGCAACATGGCCAGGAAAATTACTTGGCTCTCCCCTCACTCACACACACACACACACACACACACACACACACATACTTCCTACTTGGTTTTAAAATACAAGAACATAAGTTTATTTTTTAAGGAATATTGAGATATTTGATGTCTTTCTTCACAAATAAGAAAATCTGTATTTTCATTTATATCAATTAAGATAATTAGATCAGTTTTTTCCCTTTCCTTAAAATCGCATTTTTACGCCATCTATTTTTGGTAGCTTAGAATAGTGATACATAGTCAAAGTCCACATGCCTGCGAGTTTTCTTTGTAAAAGTATTTGTGGAGATGTACCAAGCCACCCCCCGTTTTTACAAAAAAAGTTGTTTGAATCGCTGTCTAGAGAAAGCTGACGGGCCACAGAGGCAGGTCTCGGAGGATCCTTTCTGTCAGCGGACTTCTCCGGGTCCCACCGTCCGGACGTGTCAGAGGGAAACGTGCCGTGTGGGCTCGGGGAAGCTCCCCGTTACCCCCGCCCCCCGCCCCCTGCACTGCTGACTTTTGTAGATTCTCCCATCACTCGGACGGAGTGAGGAGTGGGTGGCACTGAACGGGAGAGAAGCCGGATTCTAGACCCTGCCGATCTGAGCCGGTTGCCTGGAGACCAGCAGAGCGGCCTCATGGCAGCAAGGGATGGGGGGCGGATGGAGGGGATAGGGGAGCGTTTGGGGAACTGGAGAGGAGTATGAGGAAAGGGGGTGGATCAAGTGTGCATTCTGCCTGTCTTTCCAACATGAACTGCGAAAAGGCAGTGAAATGCCGTCGGGTTAATGCGACGCACAAGCACCACACTTGAGTGGCTGCTCTGGGGCCAGAATTGGCGGAACGCCAACGGGGGGCGGGGGGTCCTGAGACGTGGCTTTGTGAGGCGAGCACACTGCTCTTCTGCGCAGCGTGGGAGGGTGGCGTCCGAGGAAGAACAGCCCGACACACACACACAGAGGCACGGTTGGCCTCGACAGACCTCGGGGGCTGCAGACTCCCCTGGACGCAGAAGCGGAAGCTCCTGAGCAGAGCACGTCAGTGAGGCAAAATAAGCGCTGTCGGGGCCGTCTGGCGGTTTTCCCAGTCTGTGTCCTCCCTCTCATCCCAACGCGGTGGCTCCGGAAGGGGTGGTGACGTCAGACGCCGGGTGAGCTCCGTTGGCGTTGCGGGGCTCCTGAGCCCGGGGCGCCGGGGGAGCCCAGCAAACACCTGTGTACGCCCTCCGTCTTTCAGGACCTGCACCGCCCCCTCTCGCCGGACGATGTGGATTCAGTGGGAGACTCGGTGTAAAGGGAGCCGCGGCGAAGTGCATGGTTTGTGAGTGGGTGGAGGCCTCCCGCTTTCTAAACACACACCTAACCGCCAACCGCGCAAAAGAGTTTTGCATACTTGGAAATTAGGAAGCCCACGTCCTTCAAAAGTAACTGTACAGGCCTTTTCTATTCGTGACCTTGATCCCAGGAGGCGTTTTTCCTTTGATACCCCCTCCGTTGTTTGATTGGAGAAGCCTGAACCCGACCGGCTCCTTGGCTGAGGTTTTCGCGTGAGGCCTGGCCCCGGGGGAGTTTCCTGCACGGACCCGACGCCGAGGATCACGGCGTGCTAGTGGCTAGCGAGGGGCGACCCAGAGCTGCCATTTCTGCAGCTGGGGCTTTCCTTGTAACCATGAGTAGACACGCGGGTACTGCTTTTCTGTGCTTTCGGTCCAGTAGATCACAGTGGCCCCGAAACACATTTTTTTCCTCCAAGTTCCATTCTAAAATTTGGATTGCTGATTTTTAAAGGCACTTTTATTGCCAAATAGTTAAAATAGTCGAGTAGATTGTTTCCTTCCTAGTCAGTAGACAGAGCCGTTTCTCATTTCGTGGGTTAGCGGAATGGAGGAGAACCGCCCCACACCAAGGAGGCGTCTCGTGAAGATTTTAACGTTGGGGATCAGGAAATTGCCTTGTTTGTGTCATGGAGCAAATTTAATTTAAAAAATTTTTTATTGGAAACAGCTTAAATATAGCTTACACTGAATACTGGCATGAAGAACTACAAATTGTACCATTCCTCTCACAAGCCAGCGTGTCGTTCTTCAAACAGGTCAAGCCTGAAGCCAGGAAACTCTGTTTTTCACACACAGGCCCGAAAACCCACTGTGTCTGGGCGCCTTCCAAAAAACCAGCTGGAAAAGCAAAACTCTTTTACAGGGTACCATGCGAAGGACGCCCGAAAACAGTTGGGTCCCCGTTCCGATGCATCCTGGGGCTTGCTGGTGTTTTGGAAATTTTCATATGCAAAACTCCTTTTGTGTTAAACCAAGTCTGTGATTATAACCCCCTGTGAACATTAACACACTAATTCTGCTCTTCCGGCCCTCTCCTTACAAATCATGGTCAGCTTTGCTCAAACATAGAATCATTATTTAGAAATCTGAATGTTCACTGATTTGAATGCGTATGATCTGTCGTAGTTAAGCCACATCTCAGCAATCCTTTAGTTTTCCCGGCGCGGACGCTGACCGTGTGAGGCTGGGCGGCATGGTTCTGAT